GCTCGGCCTTGTACACTGTGCAGCATACATTAGACTTCCAATTGCACTTTCATACTCAAGTTGAGCCACCGCTCTACCGTCATTCTTCTCAAGCTTTAAACTTGAATCGAACAGAGTATTAGCATTTTTTATCTTGAGATGATTAAATTTGCTAAATATTTTCTCAATATAATAGGTTTGGTTTAAAGAATAGCCCCCACTATGTCTTTTTCACTTTAATACCCAAAATGGTATCAACTTCTCCAAGATCTTTCATCTTGATGATTAATGATAGAAACCTCTTCGTTTCCATTATTCCTCTCATGTCATCAACATATAAACACACTATGACTATATAGTCATCACTAGATTTAGAGTATAAACACTTGTAAGCGCTGTTATGTCTAAATCCATAAGAAATAATAGCACTATCAAATTTTTCATGCCATTGTTTAGGAGCTTGCTTTAAACCATATAATGATTTAACAAGCCTACACACTTTATGTTCATTTCCCGATAGAACAAAACCTTCTGGTTGTTCCATATAGACCTCCTCATTGAGATCTCCATTCAAGAATGCCGTTTTGACATCCATTTGATGAACAAATAGATTATGAATTGATGCCAAAGCAAACAATATCCTAATTGAAGTTGTTCTTGCCACTGGAGCATATGTATCGAAATAATTAATACCTTCTTTTTGTTTAAATCCTTTAGCTACTAATCTAGCTTTAAAGGTTTGAATAGTCCTATCGGTATTGTATTTCTTACGAAACACCCACTTGCAACCAATTGGTTTAGATCCAACTGGAAGTTCTACCAATTCCCATGTTTTATTAGGTACAATAGAATCCATTTCATCATTGATTGCCCCTTTCCAGAAAGCGGCATCTCTCGAATCCATGACATCTTTGTATGTTTTGGGATCCTCCTCCACTTGAAGTATTATAAGAATTTTCCTAATAACATCTTCTCTATTTCCCTCTACTAAATAAATGGAAATTCTTTGAGAATCAATCTCATCCGATCCCAATAATTTTTCTTTTCTACGTCTTTGACTTCTTCTCACTGGCACCAAAGGGTTCTCAACAACCTTCGTTGGTCCATTCTCCTGAGACTCTTCAAAATTAGTAGATTCTTGAGAACTACTTAATAAATTCTCAAAAAGTTCTATATCTTTTGATTCAATTATCACATTAGATTCCAAATCTAATAGCCTATAAGCTTTGCTATTTGTGGCATAGCCAACAAATGCACACTTTATAACTCTCGAACCCAACTTTCTTTTGTTTAGGTCCGTTTTCTTGCAATATGCAAGACACCCCCACACTTTGAAGTAACCTATATTAGGTTTCCTTCCTTTTTATAACTCATATGGAGATTTTTCAATTTTCTTCATCGGTATTCGATTCATCGCAGTCAACAATGCTTCACCCCACAACTCGAAATTTAAGGTAGCATGCAATAACATTGCATTCACCATTTCTAAAAATGTTCGATTCTTCCTCTCTGCTACACCATTATGATGTGGTGTATATAGTGTTGTACATTCATGAATAATGCCATTTACTTCACAAAACAAATTAAATTCATTTGAGAAATATTCGCCACCTCTATCACTTCTCAAAATGTTAATCTTTTTATCAAGTTGATTTTCAACTTCGGCTTTGTAAACTTTATTGGCATTAAAAGTTTTACTTTTATTTTTCAATAAAAACACATAGGTAAATCTTGAACAATCATCAATGAATGTAACAAAATACCTATTACAACCTCTAGTTTTTACACTGTTAAGTTCACAAAGATCACTATGTATTAAATCAAGCAAATTCGATGATCTTTCCACACTTTGAAAAGGCTTTGTGATCATTTTAGATTCAATACATATTTCACATTTTTTAAATTCATTCATATCACAATTGATTAAACCACTATTGACAATTCATTTTATAGTGCTTAAACCAACATGTGAAAGCCTATCATGCCATAATGACAAAGAATTTGAGTCACACACATAAACAAAAGTAGATGCATCTATATTCAAATTATTTTGAATACAAAGTTTAATCATCCCATCAGTAGAATAACATTTTCCAACAAAATTCCACGATTTTGTTAAAATTAGCTTACCGGATTCGAACACAGCTTTTATACCCAGTTTGCTAAGTAAATCATCACTGACAAGATTTCTATTCATATTGGGAACATACAACACATTAATAAGTGTAATCTTTTTCCCCGAAGTGAAAACAATCTCAATTGTGCCTTTGCCTAGCACCTTGGATTTTCTTTCATTCCTCATTTGAACCTCTTGATCACCCTTTGCATCTTCAAAGGTTTTGAAAATAGATTTATCATAGGTAACATGAACGGTGACACCGGTATCATACCACCATCCTTGAACCTTCCCATGGATAGCACATACATGGCTTAAAGTTGCAACAATCTCATTATCAATTGCATTCACTTCAGTCCCCTTTCGGTCCCTGCAATCTCTTGCAAAATTTCCATGTTTTCCACATACATAACAAGAGTCTTTCTTGCCCTTGAATTTTTCATGATTTTTCTTTGGACCGAAATAATTATTGAATTTTTTATTTTTATTTTTATCAGCAAAGTATTTTGGTTTTGAAACCATATTTGTTTTGCTAGTCCCACCATTGGACTCATCAGCCATTTTATCTCTCAATCTCGATTCTTCCTCAATACAAAGATGTTTTTTAATCTCCTCCAAGAAGTAATCTTCTTTACTGTGGAGAATCCATTTTCGGTACCCCTTCCAACTTGAAGGTAGTTTAGCCACAATGGCACCAACTTGAAAAACCTCTGAAAGTTCAATTTTTAGATTCTCAATTTATTCACAAGTATTTGCAACTCATGAATTTGAGGTAATAAAGGCTTTTCATCAAAATATTTGAAATCAAAATATTGGGAGATTAGGAATTTTTTAGTAAATTCTTCTTCGGTTTTATATTTATTTTCTAAACCTTCCCAAATTTCTCTAGCCGAATTGTTGGTGTAGAGATCATATAGCCTATCAGACAAGGCATTTAAAATATGACCCCGACATATTAGCTCGTCTTCCTCCCTTTTCTTCCATGCAGCCACAACTTCTAGCATATCATTTTCATTTGCCTTTAGTAGAGGAGTCAATGTAGGATCGAGGATGTAAAATATCTTGAGGAGCATGAGAAGATATTTCACCTTGTCTTGCCACCTTGTGAAATTCGAACCATCAAACATATCCAACTTCACACGGTCTTGGTTCATGATCTTGATCGTCTCCGTCTCCATGCAAATAGAGTTTTTGATTGTTGGAAATAAAAGATAACAATAGAGAAAGAGACACTCAACAACACTCAAATTATATTTTTCAATATTTCTCTCAAAAACAATAATATATAACACAAGGCTCAAGCAAGTTCTTTGGAACTTTGTCCAAAAACTCTATTTCCTCCCTCTCTTGGAAATCTTTAGGGAACACACAAAATGGAAATGGGTTTTGGGATTGATCAAGGCTTCTCACTTTTCTTTATAAAATTTCACAAAGAAGAGAAGTATATATATATATAGGTTCCATTTGCCATTAAGTTACATGTATAAGAACTTATTTTCACAACTCATCTTATTTAATGGAAGACCATTAAACTTGAGATGAAACTTATGTTCAATTAATATAAACTAATTAAATCAATAAGTTTGTGAAACTTCATCTTACACTCATAGATGTAATGTCATGCATGTTACCATTTAACTTTATTTTAACCAAAATATAACAGTTTGATGATTGGGATGCCTTATCATAAAGTTAATTGTACAAAAAAAATCACAACCTTTTAATTTTTTTCGCAGAAAATTATTCACTGTAGAAAATTTAGTAAATAAAGATATAAACTTTTCATCTGATTGCAATTCGAACCGAGAAGACGTTTTCTTTTNTTTAGGGCATTGCATGACGAATAAAACAAATGTCCATAGTATTAGCTTGGTCCAAAATTATCTCGGAATCTAATAATTATCAATGAAGGATGGTGAAAAAATGGAGGCAGGTTGTTGCGCTCTATAGTGATGCCACACTTGTCATATTTCACAAATTTCTATATTGGTTACAGTGGCGAAGCCACCCAAAAAATTGGGGTGGACTTCAGCCCGGTCTTAATTCGGTACATCTAAATATGTACTAATAAAAATATTTTAACTTATGTTATATTAGACTAAACTATATTAATCTTATTTTTGTCTCAAAATAAATTATATTTATTTTAAATTAAATCAATAAATTATATATTTAAAAGTAATTTTAAGTCTCTTTTTCGCTTTTTCTTTATTTCCCTTCTTCTTTTTTGTTTATATTGTACTATTATTTAGTTAAATAAAATTTATTTGAATAATTTTATTCGAGATAATAATTGCTTCGGCTAGACTTCCATTAGAATATTTAGTATGCGGTTGAATTGATTGGTGTTAAAATTTAGTTAAATATTTTTCTGATTTTTCAAATAAATGGTATTTCAGTATATAAAAAATTTAATATAAAGTCTTATTTATTTATGTGGCATATTCAATAAAATGATATGTGAACTTTAAATGACATGTCATACAACAAGAGTTTTTTTTCGTAATTTGTGATAGTTCGACTTGTTAATGCTCGAATTTGGTTCGTTAATATTGATCGTCTCATTTACACTTCTGATTACCGCTTATCCTCTATCCACTTTATTCACTTATGTGCATGAAGGAAATTAAAGTGTTTATCCAATACACACGCACAATTCTATAACATGTGTATGAATTTGTACCTAAACCAAGCTACACATTCCATTTTTTTAACCTTGATGCTGAATATTTAACAAAGTGTTCTATTTGATGAATGTTCGTATGCTATCGAGCATATGACCGACGGAAAACCGAGATTTTTTAAAACTATTAATATAATTCAATGGTTCCAATTTCATTTTTCATCTCGTTGTCTCATTATAATGAATGAAACATATGCAAAAATTATTTTTCACATACATATTGACGGATCTTTCTCTTCACAATACACAACATACATAATATTTTGTCCCACGTCAAAAAAAATGTTCGTAAAGCAACACTATCAACCCGAGCAAGACATATCTAACATATTGTCTAACCTAAAAAACAGAAAACATTAGCAGCTAACACGAATCGAAAACATAAGATTTGCCGTGAATAGCTTCCTTTTTGTTCCCTACACGCTTTCATGAGTGTGGAGAGAACTGAAATAAATTGAATATAGAAAACTGAAAAAACGAGATGCTGCCCTCGAATAAAAAAATCTAAGTCCTTTTCATAAGGTACCCCAAAATTACACCCACAAAACCGATAATGATCACGAGAGTCATGGATACTCCTCCTCTTTTGTTGCTTCTACGTTTCAATAGTTCCTAAACCACACAGTGTTAGAAATTGAGAAATTATCTGAGTAATAAGGTTATTTTTCTCATCATCAAATAGCTTTTGCAATTCATACATAGATTAATCGGCTTAAGCTTGGCAGAAGGAGGTAAAGGAGATGAAGGATCAGAATTCTCACCAATTCTTGACGAAGTTTGGTGCCTTGTTGAATGGCTGCTGCTTTTTCCTCGGACAATTTCATAACGAGAGATTTTACCTGAGAATAAAAAACAATGGGAAGTTTGGTCAAGTGTAAAGAAAATGCAGGATCTGTTAATGTTATGAGTATATATAACACATTAAGAACTGCGAACGTAATTATTACCTCTGGTAATTTTTCTTGACTGTCCACGTAAGTTCGAGTACCCTACAGGTTCAAGAAAACAATAAATAAATAAATATAAATAAATAACAACATAAGGTGAATTAGTTGATGTGAAAGAGAGAAAAAATGAACTCATATAAATTGAAAATTTCATCAACTTNTTTTTCAAAAAAACCTCGATTCCATTTTCCAAGACAGTGCCCCTTGGTGAAACTCCTTCGTCAGATCCCTCGGCAACTGGAGATGGAGGCTGACGTGGCGCAACATATACCACTTTCAACTTGCATTCTTCTACATTGCCTTGCTCCTTGTTAAACTGAAAATCCAAACAACACTTTGTTGATCGTAAATCTTCAAAATTAAGTAAATGAATGCAGTGTCCACCACTAACCTTTTTAGTTTGTTGAACAAATTATTTAAATTGCAGATAGTACATTAAAGTGTTGGGCTGCTCGTTAAATTGCATAGAACAGCTGCTAGTAATTGATTCATAGTTTTCATTAAAATATTTACACTTAAATTAACATATGCATTCATTCCGAGCACAAGAACCATCAGACTTTGAATAAAAAATCCTTAGAAATGGTTAGATTGTGTAATTTCTGGGCATGCATTATTATAAGTATCAGTTTCTAAACAACAGTTGAGTGAAAACGTAAAATTAGAAGAGTTAGACAATCAGTATTTTGATTAAGAGAGTAAACCATTTCGGCAGTAATGTCTCTTGGGGTTGCACCCTCACTCGCAACTACGCTCTGAAGCAAAAACTTGTCTTTGCATTGCATATCTGTAGGAGCCTCCTTCTGGGCCTGCATTGTGACTATAACAGACATGGGAATTTATAATAATAATTTTAAGAAAAAAGAAAGAATACTATTAAACTCAAGCAAACAGATTTAGCTAAGGCCGTATAAGTCAAACTAAACTTAACAACTAAAAAGTAAAGAACTAAAAAGGGAAAAATGAAGTAAGATGAAGTTCGGTTGCATAAAACAGCTTTATTTCAAAAAGAATAATAAACCAAGAATGTTCCCCTTTTTTCACTGCTGTAAAAGGTAATGCTTCACGGTAATCCAATCCACTGTTACTTGAAATTCGTACTTTCTCGTCACACTCCAAAAATAACGCAGTTGATGTTTTAGTTTCAAATCGTTTCTTTGAATAACTGTATTTACATCCCACTCGGATTCAAACACTATAAAATGTGGCTTCGGAAGCAATGTGCCTTCAAAACATGTGATGTAATTATAAGCATGCCTCTAAACACTTATCTGTATCTTATCCCACTTATACATTTTTTTTTTTTCAAATCATTGTATTAGGTTGCTTAGGCCAGACAAGCCAATCAAGACACTCTAAATATCTGCTGAACCTAATGATGGAACACGAAACAAACCAGTACGAGTTCTACACGAGACTCAGTTAAAACTTTGTTCCAAGCATACATACTCAACAAAACTAAAGTTGAAATATCCATTCCTTAATACTGAAGCTGAACTCGTGCTCAATCGGGAAAACATATTAGAATACATGAGAAAATATCAAATCACCTGCTAATATCAAACAGTATTCCATGTTTCATCGCAACACGCTATAGATGACAAAGTTTTGCAGCTATAA